AACCCCAGAGGAGCACAGCCCGAAAACCACAGGCCCCCAGGGGGCCCTCGCCAGGAAACGAGGCGAGGCCACCGAGACAGAATCCAGAGCCCTGGGAACCCCAGAGGGCGGAGGAGGAGGAGGGGGGGGACCACGGGGGGGGGAGGGCCCAAGGGGAGAGCCCACAAGGACTCAAGGGCGACCTCGGCAGGAATTTTGGACACCCGAAATGGGTACCGAAAGAATGGGCAACATGCCCAACAACAAATGTTGTCCCGAACCAACAGCGGCCGCTGTTGGGCAGGCGGCCTTCTGTCTCAAATGAACACAGGCCGCGGCGGCGCGGACAGCGAGTCCTGTTCAAAATGAACAGGAACTGCTGTCGGGCATCGTACCCATTCTTTCAGTACCCATTTCGGGCGTCCAGAGGAATGCCCGAGGGACACGGAAGACCGCCAGCACCCGACCCCCGGACCCCACAGCGCCCCCGGAACCCTCCCGGGGACCAACGACCAGCCCTGCAGCCGCGTCCGGCCACGGCGACGAGGAGGCCCCGGGAGCCGGAGAACCAAGCAGCAAGGCAGCCCCCGCGAAGAGCCCCCCATCGCCCCACAAGAAACCCCACCCGCCCACAACGCCCCGGGGGAGAGAACCAGGACCCCGGGGAAAAAGCCCCATCTCAGGGGCACCCCCAGAGAGCCCCTACCAGCCGACGGCACAGAAACAGAGAACCCCGAAGCGTCGGAGTGGGGCGACGCTGGCAGACTTCTCCCGCCCACCTGCGAGGAGACCCCTCCGGGCCGAAAAAACCCACCCGCTCGCAACACCCTGGGGGAGGGAATCAGGGCTCCAAGGGGAGAGGCCCTCAGGGGCCCCCCCCCTCTTCCATCGACTTGGAACTCCGAAGCGTCAGAATGGGGTGTCGCTTGACAGCATCTGCTCTCGCCCACCTGCGGGGGGACCCCCCCCGGGCCTGCGCGCGCGCCCGGCGAGCAGGGAAGGGGGGAGGGAGAGGAGGAGGCGGGGGAGAGGCAGGAGAGGGGGGGCCGGAGAGCGGAGGAGGGGGGGAAGGAGGAGAAGGGAGGAGTAGCAAGGGCAGCAGGGTAAGAGGAGGGGGAGAATTCCTCGGGCTCCTCCGCGTTGTGCACCACACCTGCACATCAGAATGCTCTCTGCGCGCGGGGGAACCGGATCCTTCCCTATGCTTCTGGGAAAGGTCCCAGAACCCCCCGCGCACGAGTGCGTCCGCACATCGCAGATGCGGACTCACTCCCGCGCTGGGCTTCTTAGGCACTTCCCCAGCGTGCGGGGGAATCCAGAGGGGTGGCCGAGAGGGCGCGGGAGAGCATCACCCACCCCAGCACACCTCATCAGGCACCGCCCCACCCCAACTAAAACCAGAATTCCCTCCAGGCGCCTGGGAGGGGCCCCCGAACGCCCCGAGCGGGAGTGCGTCCGCCACACCGGCATGCGGACTCACTCCCGCCCTGGGCTTGGCACGGCACCCCTCTCAAACGCGCCGGGAGACCGGGGGAGGAGGAGGGGGAGGAGGAGGAGGAGCGGCGCACCGCCTGCACCGCCTCGTAGGCCCTCGCGAGCGCGAGCGAGCTGCCCCTGCCGGCGGGGGCGGCAAGCGGCCCCGCGGCGGGCGGCCGCGCCCGGCACCGCGCGGCCGCAGCCTGCCCGGGGGTGGCGGCGGGCTCTCGCCTTGCTCGTCGCGATCGAATCACAAAAACTCGGGCGGGGAGCCTGCCCTCCTCTCCTCTCTCGTCTCCCCCCCCTCTCCGTGGCCATCGCCTCTCCCCTCGTCCCCCCTCGTCCCCTCTCACCTCCGCTCGTCCTTCCCCTCGCCTCCCCTCTTCACTCCTCCTCCTCCTCCTCCTCCTCCTCCTCCTCCTCCTCCTCCTCCTCGTCTTCTTCCTGCCCCCCCCCCTGCCAGAGAGCCTGCAAGATCCCTCTAACGCCCAGGCCTTCGACATCATGACCAGATAACATCAAATGTGCGTTGATATTTGTGGGCTCCAGGTGCAATTTCGACCGTGCTGCCTCTTGCCCCGCCGCGTGAAAACGTGAGCACAAAAATTGGAGGGCACTTAGGGGCTCTTACTTCGCTCTTAAGATAACTGGACCCTGGTGCCGCCCCGGCCAGCTTGTGGCCACCTGCCGCCGCCATCCGTCAACGCCGTCGCCGCCTGTCGCCGCCGTCCGTCGCCGCCACTCGCGCCGCGCTGCTGAGTATTGAGTTGCATTGCTTTGCAGTGCTCTGCAGTGCTCTGCAGCGCTCTGCATTGCGTTGCACTGCATTGCATTGCGTTGCAGTGCACTGTGCTGCATGATTTTTCATTGGTTTGTATTTCTTTGCAGTGCCCTGCGCCACATAAAACCACATGGTGGTTTGCATCACCTGCATTGCACCACATTGCTTGCACCACGTAGAGCGCAAGGCATGGATTGTAATAAACCACTGCTTCGGGTCCAGGCTGATCAACATTTTTCTTTGACAAACGATCATGCCCTCCCGTGGATGATCTGAAGGACCCAACACAGCGGAAAACGCCCGCAATGAATTTCTACACAGAATCGCAATCCGCCTAAACAGAAACAACTATGAGGAAGATTGCATGTCCCGTGCGTCATGGCAGGCTCTGCCTCCTCCATCCCCCCTCTCCACTCCTGCCCTCTCCCCTGCGGCGCCCCCCATCCGCCTCGTGCCATTCGAGAACCATTGCGTTGACATTCCGCTTGCTCGCACTTCTCTTGCCCTCGCGCGTCCGGAACATTCTTGACTGGGACTGAAGGGTCATGTCTGGGGCCCAGGCCGTCGAACAAAAACCCTGGACGAAAAGCCAATCCTGGGGGGTCCGGCGGGGGGGGGGACGCTTACAGGCGCGCCCACACTTACCCGATCTCTCGCGACGACAAACGCAATGAGGGACACCCACACACGACGAGAGGCACCCAACCATGTCACATGCTGCGGCTCTCCCAAGGCCTCGGGGCCCGAGGTGTCACACGTGACGGCATCCTGTGCGCTCGTCGACCTCGGCTTCATCGTCCCCGTCATTTCTCTTCTCCCTCCTCATTCTCCATACAACTGCATGCCACTCCCCTTGTCATCATCGTCGGCTACCGTCTTCCTCTTCGCCCTTCCCTCTGCATGGTCCTCATCCTCCGCCGTCCTCCTCGCCCTCCACATCGTCCTCGTTCATCTTCCCCCCTTTCATCCCCCTCGTCCTCACATAAAGCTGCACACTCCCTTCCCTCCTCTCCTCGTCGCCGCCGTCGTCGTCCCCCTCGCCGTCGTCCTCTTCCGCCCCCCTGAGGGGCAACGTTGGGGGGGACTGGCTCCAGGACCTGGAATCCGGCGATACACCGCCGATATCATCGGCGATGGGCCCTCGATCGCGAGCCCGAATGATCACGGGCGGGATGAGGCTACTGGGCCCCTCTCGGAGATGAATGGGCGAGGAGGACGACGACGGCGAGGACGACGACGAGGACGAGGACGAAGGGCGACGACGACGACGAGGAGGAGGATGGTGGAGGTGGGGGGGTCGATGCGCTCCCCCCTGAGCCTGTCCTCCCTTTAGCATTGCCCCTGAGCGAGGCGGAGGTCGACCGCTCCATCGGCAGACCGCGCAGCAGGGCACAGGCCCACCCCAACGGCCACCGAGAGCGCCGCCGCCGCGGCCAGCGCAGCGGCTGCTGCGCAGGCCGCCGCGGGCCACCTCTCGCGACGGGACGACCACGACGACGCCCGACGCACACGACGACCACGACGACGACAACGAGGACGATCACGACCATGACGACGAGGACGACCCACGACAACCACGACGACGACGCCGACGCACGACGACCACGACGACGACTACGACGACGACGCCCGCCGACCACGACGACGATGACGCCCGACGACAACGGCGACGACGACGACGACCACGACGACGACGCCCGACGACCACGACAACGACCAGGGCGAGGACCACGACGACGACGACGAAGACGAAGCCCGAAGACCACGACGACGCCCGACGACCACGACGACGCCCGACGACCACGCCAACAACCACGGCGAGGACCACGGCGACGACGACGAAGACAACGTCTGCGAACCACGACGACGACGACGCCCGACGACCACGACGACGACGAAGACGACGCCCGACGACCACGACGACGCCCGACGACCACGACGCCGACGACATGCTACGACGACCACGACGACGACGACCACGACGATGACGTCTGGCGTCGATGACGACGACGACAAACCCCGACTACGACGGCGACAACGCCCAACGACCACGACGACGACGCCGACACGACGCCCGCCGACGACGACGACGACACTCGACGACCACGACGATGATCACGACGAGGACGGCGAACCGCGGCGACGGCGACGACGACGCGCGGCGAACACGACGACGCCGCCGACGACCGACGACGACGACGAACCCCGACGCCCGCTGACCCCGACGCCCGCGACAACGCCCGACGACCACGACGACGATGACAACCACGACGACGACGCCCACCGACCACGACGACGACGACCACGACGACGACCGCGACAACGACGACGCCCGACGACGACGACCGCCAACAACGCGACGCCCAGCGACCAGGACAATGGCCACGACGACGACGACGGCCGACGGCCGACGACCACGACGCTCAACGACCACGCCGATGACGACCACGACGACGACGATTACGCCCGTAGCCCGACGACAGCAGCGACCATGACAACGCCCGATACCCGACGACCACGACGACGACGACCACCAAGCCGACGGACCGACGCCCGACGACGACGACGACGACTACAACGACGACGACGACGACCACAACGACGACGCCCGACGACAACGACCATTACCACGACGACGACGACGACCACGACGACGACAACGCCCGACGACGACGCTCATGGCGACGACGACGACGACGACGACCCCGACGACCACGACCACGATGAAGACGGCGACAATCGACGACGACGACGCTCGATGGCGACGACAACAACGACGACGACCACGACAACGACGACGACCGACGCCTGACGACAACGACGGCACAGCCGACGACGACGCCCGACGACTACGACGACGATGACGACGACCTCGATTAGGACGCCCGACGACTTCGACGACGACACCCGACACCCGACGACCACGACGACGACGACCACGACGACGACGACCACGACGACGTCGACGACGACGACGCCCGACGACCACGACGACGACGACAACGACGACCGACGACCACGAGAACGACGCCCGACGACGAAGACGACGACAACGCCCAACGACGACGACGCACACGACGACGACGACGTCCCACGATCATGACGACGACCACGGCGACGACCATAACGACGACGCCCGACGACCACGACGACAACGCTCGACGACGACGCCCGACGACCACTACGACAACTCCTGACGACTACGACGACGATGACGACGACCACCACGACGACGACGACGACGCCAGGCGACATCCCGACGACCACGACGACGATGAGGACGAAGACGACGACGACGACCGAAACGACGACTAAGACGACGACGACGACGACGACGGCGGCGGCGGTGGCGGCGGCGGTGGCGAGCGACGAAGACTAGTACGCGCGACGACAGCGACTGGTATGGCGTCGGGCGTCTGACAACGGCGACGACGCCCCCGGAACGGTGGCCGGCGGGGAGGGGCGCCTCGCTGGACCGGGAAGCGCGGCGCTGACGGCGCGCCTCAAGCGGCCTCGGGCGGGGAGCCGGGGCGATGACGCCGCCGCAGCCGACGCCATCGAGGTCCAGAAAACCTCCGCGGAGGCACCTGGAGCTACGGGGGCCCCCAAACGGTGTGGTGAACACGCCGCGTGGTGAGTCAATGGGGATTCAGGGTCGCCGCATGAATTTGGCACTCGGGTCGTTCTCCGTGGACGTCTCGGGCGACTGGGGCCTCCGCGAGCCCACGATCGCGCGGTGACGGACCGCGCGGTGAGCTCTCTTGGGATTCGAGGTCACAACGCGGTCCGTCACCACACAGTTCTGGGGCTCCCGACGGAGGCCCGAGCGCGCCCGGATAGGGCAAAGCGCTAGAATGCCTCAAACCCCGACGACCGCCGCCGCCGACGACGCCGACGTTGTCCACGCCGCCATTCTGAGGATGACAGCGATGGTGGTGAGGAGGGGTGAGGAGGTGGAGTAATGAGGAGCATGGCGAGCGGGGGGAAGCAGGAGGACGAGGAGGACAAGCTGCGCCCGGCCCGCCGCGCCAGCGAAGAGATAGGCCTAGCTGATCCCGCACACGTGCCCGCGACCTCATTGCGATTGTCCTGGCTTGACGAAGGACTGCGGGAAGGGGTCCCAGAGCTTCTCGCGGCGCCCATCGTCACGAATGGCAATTCCTAGATAGCTCGTGTGAGAGCGGAGGCGGGCGGTGGCGAACGAGTTGGGCAGCGACGCCTAGGTGCGGCGCGCAGCTCCCAGGCAGCTCAGGCAGGCCCTGTTGAGCGGGAGCGTCTGCCATCGATCAGACACACCTTCGTGGATATGCGTGGACGGCCATCTCAGGGGGGAGCCATCGAACTTGAATCGACTGCACATCGCTGATAGATCGATAGAAATATTCCGAACCTTCCTGGCCAGGGTGAGCGATCAAGCGCCTGTCGGCGATCAATGGGCGATCGGGGGTCGATGCGTCCCCCCCTACACTTGCCCCTGAAATCTGGTCCTTCTCCTCCTCCTCCTCTTCCTCCTCCTCCTCCTCCTTCTCCTCCTCCTCCCGTGCGGCTGCCGACCCGCGGCGAGCTGGCCGATAGGGCGACTGCCCGAGCCGCTTTCGGAGGACTTCCGCACGATCGCCCGCTGAAGGTCCTTGGGCACGCGAGCAGGGGGGGGGAAGCAGGGGAACTTGCGCAGGTTCGTGTCGTGGATCGTTTAACCTTGAATCGTGGCTTTCCGATACCGCGTATCATTCAATGTCGTCCGATTCTGTGCCCCCCGCGGCGTTCAGACTCGAACGCCTGCGCCAAGATCGCTGCCGCGTCGAGGCGCCAACCTTCCGTAGGGGGATTCGAGGGGAGGGGGAGGCGACCCAGGCACCCTCGCATCGCGAAACAGTCACGGCAGAATGTCTGCAATCTGCGATCTCCTCGAGGCCGCCTCCCTGTCCCCGAGACCTTCAATAAAATCCCCCTGGTGGGACACAGGCCACGGGGAAAGGGAGATCTCTACGGGCCCATGCCGTGTAGCAACTTCGACGTCGGGGGTCCGGGGAGTGAGCGTCAGGGCCCCGTCAACGGTAACCTTGCTACACGGTGCAAGGAATGTGCAACTGTGGTTCGATACGTTCTCATCTGTTCGTTCTTTCTCGCTGGATCTGATCAAAGCCTGGTCTGCAACAGCTACAGGCCTCTGGGGCCCTGAGAGCGAGCCGCCTCTGTCGCGCCGGAGCGCGGCCACAGAGGGTCGGGCGGACAGAGCCGCGTGCGTCAGGCACAGCAAAAGCTAGGCAGTCTTCGCACGGCCCGCGCGAACGCCATTGCTGCCATCGGGGACGGACGGATGGGGCAGAGGAGGCGCAGGGTGCGGCGGATGAGGAGGCAACATTCGTGGCCCAGCACGCGGCCGCCGCTGCCGTCCCCGACACCTCTTCCTCATACATATACTCTTCCTGCGCCCTCAAACCGTTCCTCCTGGAATGTGCCTCACTTCTCGACTGAGTAGTTTCGCCTCGACCTTTTCCCTTTCCGTCCCTCTCTTCATTCTCATCTTTCTCCTCGTTCGCTCCATCCCCTCCTCATCCCCATCATTTTCTGCGGATGGATGAGGGCAGACGGATGAATGAGGACTGCTACATGAGGAAGGATGAATTTCTTATACTTTCGTACAGGTTTTGATCAACGGCGTCCAGGGGCTTCAGGGCCTCCTCCTCCTCCAGCTAGTTCCCTGTTTCGCCTTATCCTCGTACATCCAAGTCGTCTCCCTCCTTATCGTCCCTCCCTATCCTCCACATCTGTCCTCCTCGCCCCCCTATTTCATCCCCTCCCCTTCTTCTTCCTCACCTTCTCAACAACCTTTCCCCCCCCTGTCCGTCCTCCCGCCACCAGTGCCAATACTCCTCCTCCTCGTGCCCCCTCTTCTCCTTCTCCTTCTCCTCCCACCCTCCTTCTCTCATCCTGCCCCAATTTTCCTCCGGCTCCTCATTTTGCTCCTCCTCCTCCTCCTCCTCCTCCTCCTCTTCCGATTCCCGCCCCTCCCTCAATTCCCCCCTCCTCTCCTCCGTCCATTTCCTCCTCCCGTTCCTCGTCCAGCTTTGCCTCCTCGACCTCTGGTCCGCAGCGGGGTGTTGACCACACCGTGTGGTGAGCAGGGGTTGCCATTGGAGCTGCCAGGAGTGTCGCAGTGATTGACGCGAAGACGACGCTGGCATAGCTGGGCCATCTGTTGTGAACCGCGCTGCGCGCAGGAAAGCGCGAGCGCTGACATAGCTGGGCCATCACCTTCTCCTCTTCCTCGTTTCGAAGATTGGGTATCCTTGGTGCCCGTTTCCGCGTTTTGCGCCGGTCGCTTTCTCACTCTCTGCCGTCGCGCTCGGCGCAGCTTTTCGACTACCCTTTGCGGGCCTGCCTCAGCACCGCGCATCGAGCGCTTGCGTTCAGAGCCTTGGAATAATACCGAGATGGGGGAGGATTGGGGAGGAGCAAGGTGGGGAGGATGGTGGAGATGGGGGGACGGGGCACGGGGAGTATAGATTTTGCGTCCACACTTGTTGGAAACGGAAGCGACAACCTGGGGAGTAACTGTGGCCTTAGGCGAAGATCTAGACCAATGTGTGACATGCCTCTACTCCTGCTGGAGATGAAGATCTAGACGGATGATATGAAAGCCCCTGGGTCTAGATTTGTCGCTTAGACTTTGCGCTCCAACTTGCTGAACTTGTCGGGCATTCGGAATAGATGAAGGCTGATGCTCTGGGAGCCTGTAATCTAGATATTGCGTCCATAGTGGCTGAAATAGACATGGGTGGATATCTAAACTGATGCGTTGAAAGCCTTGGAGCTTTGATGCTGTAATACTTGGAGCTTTGATGCTGTAATACTTGATTTTTGAATGGAGCACTGTCCACCTGGCGGATGATTGTGGTTTGAAGTGGAGATCTACATTGACGCGCCGACTTTCCCGTGGAATGGTATGCAGAACCCGAACCGAGCAGAGACACTTACCGACGAGGCGCTTCAAGACAACCCAAACACGCCCGAAGGGGGCGGGCGGATAGATTTAAAATCAAGCCCAAGAAGATCACAAGAGTGCCCCGAGACGGACTTCAAAGGGGACAAAAAGAGGCTCCGAGAAAAAAAACCCAAGACGGAGCCATGCGGGCCCCAAGAACAACCCGAGGAGGACTCGAAAACGGTGCCGACGTTCTCTGCAGAGACCCTGAACAACATCCGCTAGGCAGGCCGATCAAAAAAACGCCCCGAACGTAGAAGGGGCCCCGAAGCAGAGGGCCGACGCGGCCCGAAACGGTGCCCTGGTAAAGTCCCAGGAGACAAGCATAAGAACCCTTCGCAATTATGCAACAGGGCACCCAAGGGAAGCTCCAAGATGGCCCCGCGGAGGGCCGAAGGGGGTAGCGTAGGAAGGCTCCGAGAGAGGGCCTTCAGAGAGCCCTCTAGCGACCCTCGAGAGGGCGGGGGCCCAAGCTGGAAGTCAGCGAGGGTGCGTGATGACGACGGCAGCCAGGGAAGCTTCCCCTCCTCTCGGGCCGGGCGAAAGGGGGGGATAGCAAAGGGGGGGGGTTGAGCATCAACTCACGTAGCTGATTTTCCCGGCGCCTCCCAGCGCCAGAGGCGACCCTGTATCGAGGAATGGGCCCCTCGGTGGGGCCGAGACCAGCTGCATGCAGCAAATGTCGTAACCCCCCCTTTCCCAATCCCCCCCTTTGGTCCGGCCCGATCCTCCAGGGTGGCGGGGGCGGGAAAATAAGCCCACTGGGAAGTGGAGACGGAGGACGAGAGGATGGGGAACCCGAAAGGAGATGGTGGAACAAAGTGCGGCGTGGTTCCAAGCATCCTCTGGCCTCCCGCCCCCTCCCCTCGTCTTTTTGAATGTCCCTGGTATCAACTTGCAACTTGATTCTGCTCCTGAAATCTGCCGTGCTCACTTGGGCACCGTGCTCCCGTGATATGTCGTGCTCCTGTGATGTGATGTAGTACGAAAATTGGGAGGACCCGCCACACCGCTGACAATTTCCACAAAAATATACAGTGTCAAAAAACAATGCGGAAACATGCTCACGAGAAGGGGGCGAAAGGCTGCGCCGAACGCGGGGGGCCGAAAGCCGAAAAGTATAAAACATGTACGAAGTACGATACACGATCCGGCCAGCGCTTTCAACGCTGAAAGCGGAAGCGCGCGAATCCTCGGTCCTGTCTGCGCCGGCCACGCTGGAACAATGGGAACTACAAGAAAAAAAGCTACGCACTCGCTCTTTGCCAAAGAATAGACCTAGCGCAGGCAGTGCGGCGCGGAAATCGGACCTCTTCTGCGCAGAGCGCGTTTCCACGGTCTGGCCAGCGCGCTCCACGGCGAGGCGGAACCACGCGAATCCCCTGTCCTCTCTGCGCCGAGCGCGTCACACGAGGACATAACGGCCCCAGCACTCTGCGACGAACGCGCTGATGCCATCATCGAACCCAGGGGCATCCCACGGAGAAGCCGATCTTCTTCTGGCGAGCTTCCGTCTGAGCATTTTTGCGACCCTTATCTTAAGTCGGGCCTGTCCCCCTACAGGGGGACTTTGGAGGAAAAAAAATTAAGTAGTGAAACAATACTCCACAATGGTCCAAAATAATCAAACAATAGTCCCCGACTATGTTTTGACTATTTTTGAATATTCCTCCTGAAGATGGACAGGCCCGACTTAACCCTTATCGCCAAAGACGCCCGACTCCTCGGCAAGCCTGTGGACATCCGAGCGGCCGCAGAGGCGAGCCGAGCGCGGCACGCGCCGCCGTGCCGCGTCCACCTCGCCGCCTGCATGCTTCTGCGGCAACTCCGAGATGTGTGATGAACATACTAAAGAACCGAACTCTATACACCGACGCGTGTTCCGGGCTTGCTGTGAAACTTGCAAACAATAAAGCGGATCCTGTTGTATACGGGATCCTGGTGTATGCATGTTTCGTTGTTTCCCCCAGAGAACGGGGAAACAAGTATACACCACACCACCTCGACATCGTCCTCGACCCCAAAAAAATCCTGGGATTGAGAAACAGCCCTTCACTCGTAATGTATAGGTTCCAATATCCGACATAGAGCCCCCAGAATCCCCTGATAGTGCTGTCCCAGTCCTGCCGCCGCCTGCGGTCGCAACATACGTACGCCCGCTTCGGCCGTGAGACTGAGAAACACCTGGCCTTTCAAGAGAATGATGGCTTATCGTCTGGAATTGTTACTGTTCTTCTTCGCGCACCGAGGTGTGCGCACGCACCAATGATTACATCCCGGGGTGGCTGCCCAAACATGACATCGCCGTGCAATGGTCGGCGAACCCACTGGAAACCGTGATCAGCGGAGATCAAATACGTCATTGGATACGTTGTGCTCTCCAAACTTGTACGTCGTCTGCGCTAGCGCACCCTCTTCCTCCACAGGTGGGAACGCTGGTTCTCCTCCAGTCCCACCAGCCCTCTGGGCGTAGGTGGTCTAGGAAGTTTCCTCCTCCAACCCCCTTCTTCCCCTCCCCTGCACTTGGACGGGGGTGGCCGAGAGTAGTTGGAGCGCCCAAGGTGGCTTCCAAGATGGTTCCAATAGGGCCTCAGAGAGTGCAAGATGGCCTCCAAGATGGCTCCCGGCAGCGCGAGATCGCACAAGATGGCTTCCAAGATGATCCAAGAGGCCTCAAGTCCGCCTCAAGACGGCTCCAAGTGGCCAAGGAGCTCCCCAAGGAGGCCCCCAAGAGACCCAAATCCTTGAAACATCTAAGGGGACTCAATGTTTGAGACTTTCTAGCCTTTTCACTTCCGATGGCCATCAGAGGTTCCAAGGTGGCCCAAGACGGCCCCAAGAGGGACACACGAGAGTTCCAAGACGGCCCCAAGAGCGCCCAAGAACGCTCCAGAAGCGCCCACAGGGCGCTTCAAGGGGCGTTTGTAGGCACTCTAGAAGGACAAGGCGAATTAAAGCTCCCCTCTTTTTGTAGCGATGTCGTCCAATATGTCTCCAAGAGCGTACTGAAACCGCCCAAGAGCGCCCCAAGAGGGCCCCAAGGGGCGCCCAGACGGCTTCAAGAGGCGCCCATAGGGCCTCCAAGGGGCTCCCAAGAGACCCCCAAGAGGCCTCAAGCTGATCCCCAAGGCACACAAGACACTCAAAGACGGCCTTGGGCCCCTCCAGATGCCCCCCCCCCCGCCAGACGCCCCAAGAGGTCTCCAAAAAGCTTCCAAGCGACATCCGAGGAGACTCTGAAAGGCATTCAAGACGCTTTTGGCTCCTCAGTGCGAACTTTTCCTCCTCCTCCTCCTCCTCCTCCTCCTCCTCCTCCTCCTCCTCCCTCCTCCTCCTCCTCCCCTCCTCCTCCTCTCATCCTCATCCTCATCTCATCTCATCATCATCATCATCATCATCATCCCCTCCTGCTTCTCCTCCTCCTCCCTCTCCTCCTCTTCCTCCTCCTCCTCATCCGCAAACTCCTCTTCCTCCTCCCTCGCCTCTGATCCTTCTGCTCGCCCTCCTCCTTCTCCTCCTCTTCCTTCTCCGCCTCCTCCTCTTTCTTCTCCTCCTCCTCCTCCTCCTCCTCCTCCCCCTGTTCCTAGCCATCTGCAATTTCATCATCCTCCCTCCTCCGTCCTCCCTCCTCACTTATCCCTCCTCCCTCCCCTTCTTCCTCCTCCTCCCTCCTCCTCCTCCTACTCTTCCGCATTCTCCTCCTCCTCCTCCTCCTCCCTGGAACGGTAACGCCTGTCCCCGATGTTGCTCCTAAGCTTCCATGATCGTCTTGGCTCGCCTGGAAATCGATGTTGGATGGGCTGGTGGGTATACGCGATCGTCAATAACTAGGTGGCACTCTTTTCCCAAGCGCTAAGCAAGTACGTGCTTACTAACCTTTTGAAGCAATTATCGACACCACCACCAACTAATCGTTAACACCCAACAGTGGATCCTGGAGTACCGCCGACCTATCCCCCCTGCAATATCGTAGCACATGGAATAATGCAGCAATTCTCGAAGGGGGGGAGGGGGAGCAGCGAAGTCTCAGGAATCGCTGGGGATCGTTCAAAGATCCTGCGGGACTCGTCAGGGATCCTTCAGGAATTTTTTGGGACTCTTCCCAGGAATTTCAAAATCCTCACAAATCTGAGGGGGCCAGAGGGAGCCCTGGGGAATTCTGGAGGAACCCTCAGGAATCCTCGCGAGTCTTTCAGGAGCGGGCAGCAAGCCTGCAAGAATCCTCAGGAGCCCTTCGGCGACACAGCGGGAATACTCAAGAATCTGTAAGAATCTTGAGGCATCCTTTGGAGCCCCAAGAAATTACCCAGAAACCCTCAAATAATCCGATCGTAACCACCACAAATCCGCCGGCCCCCTTGTGGGGCCACCAGGCTGTAGGCCCGAGGTTCGCAATTTCCTGTACCAATTGCAACTTCCAATTTCCACTGTTACAATTCTGCTTCTTGCTGCTCACTGTTCCTTGTTGACTTCTTGCTGCTTACTGTTCCGTGTTGATGGACCGCGCGAGGGGGTGAGGCCCCAAACGGGCATTTTCACAACGGAGAAATCGTATTGTCTGAATTGCTGGGGTGGCTAAAAATTGACCCCTCAAGCAGATCGGCGGGGTCAGGGTCCAAAAACACATGGCATTGGCTACATTTCTGAAATCCGGTGGCACTCCTCATGCAAATCGGCGGGGTCAGGGTCCAAAAAGACAAGGGATTTGCCACAGTTCTGAAATCCGGTGGCACCCCCCACGCAGATCGGCGGGGTCAGGGTCCAAAAACAAATCGGATTTGCTACAGTTCTGAAATTAGGTGGCACCCCCCACGCAGATCGGCGGGGTCAGGGTCCAAAAACACATGGGATTTGCAACAATCCTGAAATCCCGTGGCACCCCTCACGCAGATCGGCGGGGTCAGGGTACAAAAACAAATCGGATTTGCCACATTTCTGAAATTAGGTGGCACCCCTCACGCAGATCGGCAGGGTCAAAGTCCAAAAATACATGGGATTTGCAACATTTCTGAAATTCGGTGGCACCCCTCACGCAGATCCGTAGGGTCAGGGTCCAGAAACACGTGTCTGACATTCGGTAGCACCTCTCACGCAGATCCGTAGGGTCAGGGTCCAACAACACAGGGGATTTGCCACATTTCTGAAATCCGACGGCACCCCTCACGCAGATCGGCAGGGTCACGACTTCTTACCAATCGCCAGGTGTGGTAACCCCTCTGGTCATCTATTGGTTTTGCTCAGTACGAGTCGGCCTCGCATGAAGTTCCGATACAGCTTCACGACAGCGCCCAGGCCTAATGACATAGCTCTTGCATAGCGCGTTCTCCGAGAGAGGGGGCCGGCGGCAGGGGGCGAAGCCCTTACGGATAATTAACAACACGCGTCTTCTTATTGCGAACGCGTGCGCGCGCGTACATGCGAGAGCCCGCGGTCTCCAGTGCGCAAGACAACAGAAAAAGGGAATGACCAATAACATTTAAAAAACTATGCTTCACTGGTATTCTGAAGGTCTCAACATGATACGGCGTATTGTGAGACAATACGTTTCGTATCGCGCGCGCGTATGCGCGCGTACATGCGGGCGCGCGCGCTCTTCCGTGCGCAAAACAAGAATCAGTAGGACATGACCTATTCAATCCAAAATATACATGCTGAAAACCGAGTGCGGCTCGCGCGAGGAACCGGGCCTTATCATGGCGACTTGTCCATTGGGTTATACGCGCGAAGGTCGAACCACAGGCACAAGGATCCGATGGGGCTTGCGCGAGGATCCTGG